TTTGCGATGATCCACAGGTCGAAATTTGAGGCTTACCGAAAAATTCGACTTTTCAAAAAGTCACTTGTTCTCATCAGCAACATGCTTAGCAGTATTGTGTTAGATGTTCAGTACAACTTTGGAAGGTTTTCGTTAACTTCGGAGAAAGAAAAATGACTTTAAAGAAAAGCGCCGGGGATCATCAGGGATCATACAAAAGCTGGAAAATGCGGTTTGTACAGCTTCTCGCTCCTGTTCAACATGTTCATAGTGAAGGGTAGTAGGAATACTTACGGATAGGTAGACAGCGTGAAATCGAGATATCCGGAACTTCAGGATATGAAGCTTTCTTCTGAAGCTGCGATCCCCTCCCCGCGGGGATATTAGTGCATGCGGCCCTAAGGCGCTGGTTTAAGGCACCAGTCTCTTCGGGGGCGTGGGTTCGAATCCCACTCTCGTCAACTGTTTTGCTCGCTGTGATTATCGGAGGGACTTTCGCCGGGACAGGGCCCTCGCATTTCCCACTGTAATCCCCTCTCGAACTGGCAATAAATCAGAATCACGAATTTCTGGTTGCTCATCGTTCTGAAAATCGTGGCGAGATGGCCGAGCGGTCTAAGGCGCTGGTTTAAGGCACCAGTCTCTTCGGGGGCGTGGTTCGAATCCCACTCTCGTCAACTGTTTTGCCCGCTGTGATTATCGGAGGGACTTTCGCCGGGACAGGGCCCTCGCATTTCCCACTGTAATCCCCTCTCGAACTGGCAGTAAATCAGAATCACGAATTTCTGGTTGCTCATCGTTCTGAAAATCGTGGCGAGATGGCCGAGCGGTCTAAGGCGCTGGTTTAAGGCACCAGTCCCTTCGGGGGCGTGGGTTCGAATCCCACTCTCGTCAGTGCTTTTGCAAGCGGCCGTTACTTGCAGTGACTCACTTGTAATCTGGAAATGGACTCTTACATAACTTTGATTAGAGTCAGCAAACTGTAAGAAAGTTTAAGGTTGGAAGAAGTAGTATTAGTTGGAAACAAAAGGTGGCCTTGCAACTGTGACCAGGCTTTCGGAATAGGTTTTTCGAATTTTTTTCTGGGCAAAATCATTATCGTTATCATTGAGAGCCGTTCTAGACAACGATACAGTGTTGTCCAAGCTCGACCGTCGCTCAATCTCGGCATTGTTTGATTGCTTTTTGAGACTGCTTGAGCTGTGCACCGAGATTAGTAACTTCTTTATTGACTGACGTTTCGGCAATATCGCCTTCTTCAGAGTCTGAAATTGTCGAATGCATAGGTAATCTATCCTGCCAAAAACCGTATCAAGACTCAGAAAAGATGTCCAATGCGTCAGAAAACCAAGAGCTACAAAAGTAAATGCAGAATTAAACTAGTGCTCACCTAAACAGCTGATGACTGCTTGGTCAGCAGACCGTATACCAGTAACTAAACTCCAACAACTTTTATAGTACCCAGTGACCTAGCACTTGACCTCAGAAGCCACAAAGGCTCTGATAAGCGGCCAACTCATTAGTGATTGCTATGCACTCATCCTTTCTATTCAAATTTGGAATTTTGGCGGCAATCCAAAACGCTTCTAATGTCTTGCGCGCCAGGATTTCGGATTCGCGTGCTAAGATCGTGACCTCTACAGCTATGTCTGCGTCATTATGGAAGTGCCTGCGGTGCATGCCCAGTGGAGTTGCCGTATTGGATTTTTTGAGCCCGTCTAGAGTTCCTTGATCCGAGTACATAAGGGGCGCCCCGTCTCGCCGATATACGTGCCCCCACATGCCTGGCAAGTGATACGGTACACTACCCCCGACACCATGCAATCTCCCTCCTTGCCGAACGGACATGTTACACACCCTGGGGTCATACACAGCCTATCATAAGCGCGATTACGAACGAGTTGACGCTTAAGGTTAGGGGGAGGTACGTCCACGACTCTTATCCAATCTTGTAGATCCACTTGATGTACTAGCCTCCTTACTGCCTTGCTGAATTCTTCCGAAATATATGGCAGGCAGAAAGGAATTTTTCCTCGATCTCTGGAGTCTCAACATCGGCCAACTGGTGTTTGTCAGAAAAATGTTTTCTGGGCTTGTATCCATTAGATCTAGCTACACGGTCAGCCAAGTCCAGCGAGTAAACCCTTTGTTGCCTGTCGGATGAAACCCTCACAGCTGTCCTGTACATATTGGCGATGATGGACTTCTTGACTTGCGCAGGGTGAGCCGCGAAGTGTAGTGCACCAAGACGTTCTTGCTACTTGGTTTGCGGTACCATCGTGTCTTGAAGTTTCCACCTGACAGCTGCATCTGAACGTTTAAGAAAGGTAACCAATCGTCCGTGGGCTTCTCTCGGGTCATCTTGATATGGGGGGACTGCTGATTGAGAATAGTAAAACAAGTGTCAAGTTCGACCTGCGTAGGGCATATAACACAGCAATCGTCCACGTAGCGGCAGTACAGTAGCGGTTTGCGCGCAAGAACAGGTGCTTCTACCTTGGACATAAAGACAATGGCCAAAGTTGGCGCTAAACGTTGTCCCATTGCAAGACCTCTAATCTGCTTATAGTACTGCCCGCACCACCGGAAAACCGAACACTGAAGACATTCCTTAAGTAGCAACATGATCCCTCTAATGCTTAATCCGTAGAGGTTCAGCGAAGTTTGATGTTCAGAGAGGAGCTCAAATATGGCCTCTAGGGCGTCGTCATTGGAAACATTCGTGTAAAGCGAAGTAACGTCGAAAGACTCTACAACACATCCTTGATCCACATGCGTGCTACGCAAACGATCTAGAAACATAGCGGTGTTAGAAAGATGCGAGGGTACGTACTTTAGCAGCTGCGATAAGATTATGTTGAGAAACCATGAGATCTTATCCGTTGGCCCACCGACGTTGCTAACTATCGGCCTGACTTTGAAATCCCGAGGATCCTTTGATGCGAGACCGGCAGCCGTAGATTTATGAGTCTTTATCAAGGTGTACAATACGGGACATATGGGCAAATCAGTCTTGAGACGCGTTGTGAAGCTTCTCTGCAACCCTTCAGATTGTGCAACCTTTACCCAAACCTTGTTTAAGTGGCGGTATTGCCTCCTAAACTCCTTATCCGATGACGTCTCGTATACTGTATTGTCTGCCAGATGATTCCTTGTGATGGCCATGTCCAATTCACGTGATAAGACAACGAATTCGCCCCCTTTTGTCGCTGACGGATATCTTGATCTCTCCTGCAGCACAAAGATCACGCAGTTCACGCAGGCCGCGGCGCTGGCAAACCGTTAAATTACTATTTTCGTGCGTTTTGCTAAATTTGGCGAGAATGAAGAACAGCGATGTAGCAAAAACGCTAAACCTAGTGTCTACTACCTGATTAGGCTCTTGGGGTTTGTGGATTAACCTTGGAAAAGGAACTGAAGGTAGATTTTTCCCACTAGCACTTTCCCACTCAATCAGCAGTCCCCCCATATCAAGATGACCCGGGAGAAGCCCACGGACGATTGGTTACCTTTCTTAAACGTTCAGATGCAGCTGTCAGGTGGAAACTTCAAGACACGATGGTACCGCAAACCAAGTAGCAAGAACGTCTTGGTGCACTACACTTCGGCTCACCCTGCGCAAGTCAAGAAGTCCATCATCGCCAATATGTACAGGACAGCTGTGAGGGTTTCATCCGACAGGCAACAAAGGGTTTACTCGCTGGACTTGGCTGACCGTGTAGCTAGATCTAATGGATACAAGCCCAGAAAACATTTTTCTGACAAACACCAGTTGGCCGATGTTGAGACTCCAGAGATCGAGGAAAAATTCCTTTCTGCCTGCCATATATTTCGGAAGAATTCAGCAAGGCAGTAAGGAGGCTAGTACATCAAGTGGATCTACAAGATTGGATAAGAGTCGTGGACGTACCTCCCCCTAACCTTAAGCGTCAACTCGTTCGTAATCGCGCTTATGATAGGCTGTGTATGACCCCAGGGTGTGTAACATGTCCGTTCGGCAAGGAGGGAGATTGCATGGTGTCGGGGGTAGTGTACCGTATCACTTGCCAGGCATGTGGGGGCACGTATATCGGCGAGACGGGGCGCCCCTTATGTACTCGGATCAAGGAACTCTAGACGGGCTCAAAAAATCCAATACGGCAACTCCACTGGGCATGCACCGCAGGCACTTCCATAATGACGCGGACATAGCTGTAGAGGTCACGATCTTAGCACGCGAATCCGAAATCCTGGCGCGCAAGACATTAGAAGCGTTTTGGATTGCCGCCAAAATTCCAAATTTGAATAGAAAGGATGAGTGCATAGCAATCACTAATGAGTTGGCCGCTTATCAGAGCCTTTGTGGCTTCTGAGGTCAAGTGCTAGGTCACTGGGTACTATAAAAGTTGTTGGAGTTTAGTTACTGGTATACGGTCTGCTGACCAAGCAGTCATCAGCTGTTTAGGTGAGCACTAGTTTAATTCTGCATTTACTTTTGTAGCTCTTGGTTTTCTGACGCATTGGACATCTTTTCTGAGTCTTGATACGGTTTTTGGCAGGATAGATTACCTATGCATTCGACAATTTCAGACTCTGAAGAAGGCGATATTGCCGAAACGTCAGTCAATAAAGAAGTTACTAATCTCGGTGCACAGCTCAAGCAGTCTCAAAGAGATACAGTGTTGCTTTACATACAGAATAGTGGTTTTTCAGATAATTTTTTCGAAACAATTGCCGTGATTTTTTAGAGTATTTTGCAGCTATGGCCAGCACTGGAGTGATTACTACATTACTTGTGAACATGAATATGGGTCTTGTGTAATAAACAAGTGCCGTAAAACTTAGCCGAGGTACCTTCGTTAGATGTGGTTGTGTCCACAGTAGTGCTTTCCCAATTATGTGCTCTAAGAGTGCTTATGCGAAATTCATGAGCTGTAGACGTAATTTGTACGCCAGTACTGCGGGGTATGCTCTGTTGATTTCTTGTTATCATCGTTGAATGAGCGACTCTCAATAGTTCACATCTCTGAAGAACATTTCAGATTACACCTCCAACGGCAGCTGGTCTACTGTATGCCTTTGGTCTAAATGGTCATTTGCCAAACTTCAACACATTCCACGTTCATGAAGTTCTGGCTTCACTTGACAAATTTCCTTCCATCGCTCTTCTACTTGGCATGGCAATGTCAAAGATAGGAACAGCTGACCGTCAGGTATGCTTCGAACACGGTTTATTTCTCAACATTTATTACCGTCATGTTTCACATTGTCCAAACAAATTCAACTACAATCCCGTTAAAGTCTTACCCGGTTTAATTAACTGTACAGACAATCAGCTCATAATTCAAAACTTAACAATGATATCATAATATCCAACATAGAACATACTCAAGTCACAATGGTAATATACGCGTGAATAATTATAATAATAGTAACCGTAACGACTGAGGATCCCTTGACGCATTAACGAAACCAGTATCTATACTCGTAGATCTGTGAAACATTCTAATGATTTTCTATTCTTGCACGCTTCAATGACGGCTCTGCACTGCTTTTCTTGGATCTCTTCTCTGAAAATATTCTATTTTCCACAGTCATTTTTCTTTTTGAAAAAACTCACCTATTTGAGTATTCCACCACGGATGCTTCAACAATTGTTTGGCTGTTGGGCGTAAATTTTCATCAACTACCAATATGTCCCGCACAAAAGCTGAAAATATCATATTTATTGACTTGTCACCAATTATTATAGGTATCGCTCTCTTGAGTTTCCTCAGATTTTCAAGCTCTACAAGAAATTTTACGAAAAAGCCTTGCCACGCCCACAAATGCAATTTGAACCCACCTAAAGTTTCACTATCTAAGCTTCTCAGAACTGGCGGTACTTGCCCTTTGAGCCACATAGAAAATGCTGGATCAGCCCTGAAAATTTATAACTTTGAAAAGATTTATTGCTGTACTGAAAGGTTACTAACCGAGCGGCTCTGTCCCATGGTAAATCTCCGGTGAGCATAACAACAAGTACACAACCAGCTGCCCATATATCATTCTTTGGTCCGCTAAATCGTAATAGATAGAATCATAAAGTCAAAATTTTCGGGTCAGATATGAATGTCATAGCAAAACTTGCTGTCCTTTTGGAAGGTTTGAACAATTTTTTTCTAGATCGTTTGCCTTTATTTCTATTATGCATATAGATAAGAAGGATTAAATTCTACTTCTGTATGTTTCTACAAACGTTTGGGACTAAAAACATACCTATAATCATTTTGAAGGACTTGTGGTGAAAGGTACTCGTACGAGCCACAAATCCGCGAAAGCCGTCGATCTGGCTCGTCAGGTGATTCGCGATAACAGTCAGCAAGACCAAAATCCGCTATTTTTAGTGCACCTAAAAAAATTTTCGCTGATAAAGGTCTTTTTTGCGGGCGAAAGACAGGTTTAGAAAAAATCACGAACCAAGCCTATCGATAAGCAAATTCTCAGGCTTGATGTCTCGATGTGCCACGGACAATTCATGTAAGAACGCCAATCCTTCAAGTAGCTGTCGAAAATAACTCTTCGCAGCAGTTTTTCCCACTCCTCCTTTGTTCACTGAAAAACCGATGGTTATCAATTCATACTATAAAAAAAAGATAATGCAAAACTCACTAGCCATCTCAAAGAGATCACTGCCATTAACATATTCTAGGTAAATGTGCTTTTCCTCCATAACAACATCATCACATGCGCCATAACAATGAACAATGTGATTATCACCAGATTTTGTTAACGTCTCATGAAGGGCAACCTGAAGTATAAACAAATTAGTGAGACTGATGTGAGAGATGAATAATTAAGCTTTAATGAGTTCAAATGCTTGTGCTTCACAAATCGCCTAGTGCTGTGTGCGCGGATAATGATGAATGAGCATAAAAGATAATTACTGCTCTGCTAGGGCATTAAAGGTAGTCCTACAATTGCAATGGATTTTTTTTCCTGTGCAACTTTGAATGTGATTGAAAAATTAGCAATTTATCATGAATCATCAACGCTTGAAGCTGCGTAGTTTGCATGGAATCTAGAGGTAGAACAAACTCAAAAATTTCAAATTCCCTGAACATCAAGTTTTGGAAGTGGTAAGCATAGGTTATAAAATTGTGCATGTGACTTGCTTCTGATTGTCAATATTAGGGAATAATTCTTAATAAAATTAAAACTAAGATTAGCTTTTAGAAGAAAGATTTTTCAAGACATGGCTAGCTTTCTTTTCTTGAGATTTCGGGGCTACAGGCTCGCAACAGTTTCGGAAAGCATCCAGAAATTTACGAGAGCATAAGGCGAGGGCTAAAAACATATCTTTTTGATCAAGAAAAGAAACATGTTCCCTTTTCAAAAAGAAATTTTTTTCCAACCGCCATGTTCCACAGGTAACATTTATAACGTGCTCCTCGCTTGACTTTGCTTGGAATCAAATGTTTGCATTTGTCATTTTTTACAAACATTAAAAAATTTCATACAATATGACATGAGGTTTTCGTAAAAGCTTGGAATGGAAAGAGACAATGGGGATTTGATGTTTTACTGAAAAAATGTGAAAAAAAGTATATCTGATGTAATTGGGAACGCTAAGAATGATTTTAACTTTTTTAGACAACACATGCAAAAAACTCACTTCATATTCCACCTCTTCTCGTTGCTTTTGATTAAGTCTAGACATATTGATCCGTTTCATAGCAACTTCTTTATGTGATGACCATTGTGTATTGAATGGATTGCTAATCAAACTAACGTCACCAAAACTCCCTAGAAAAAACACATAATTCTCCTTATGAGATAATAATCGCTGCCCTCACCTGAGCCTAGATGTTTTATAACATTGTAGCGAATAGGCTGTTTTTGTGGGGAAGGGGTAGATCGACAAGAAAAATCATCATCGCTGCTATCGTATGAGTGAACACTATCACTGCGTGGGAGCTCTATCGGATAATCAATCTCAGATCCGTCAGAATAGCCAGAATCAGCATAAAATGGCGAGTAGTTCGTGGCATATCCAGATTCTTCATAATTGCTATCTAAGGGTAACCCCATAATCTAAAATATTGAGAGATGTAGTAATCTACACGAATTTACATATACAAGTTGAATCGAAACGGTAATTTTCACCATTTTCAAAAATTTGTAACTTCTTTCTATTCGCATGATTTTGCTTGTAATTTTATAAGATAAAATCATGTACAAATGGCACTTGAATGTGCTCATTATGCGCAGATTCTGAAAATGAATATCGAAGGAAAAAGGCAGTCGAAATTTAGAGATTTCAAGCAACCTCTCAAAAATCAAAAAGCACCGTAATAAAACCCAAGACGGTCACTGACACAAGTTTTATAATCTTCTCTTTCTAACTGAGCAGGTTTGTGCATCAAACGTTTCTATCAATAATTTTTTTTCGAGTAATACAAAACGACAAATTTGATGTGAATTTTCCTCAAAAATTCACAACTTCTTTATAAGAACGTCCGATCAGCACAAACTTAGTTGGAAGAAAAGATCTTGAAACCAGTTTCTAACCATTCCATGATGTTTTTAAATTTTTGATTAGCTTGATTGAAATCGGTTAAACTAGACTATTTTTCTTTAATTTTTATTTCCACTTTGCGCACAAAGAAAAAGCACTAATAATGCCATCAGAAAGTACGTGATTTCGTCTTTGCACAAAATTCAACCTCTAGCAAAATCATGCAGCTAGAAAGAAGTATAATGAAAATGGTGCGGAATTCCTGGTTCAACGTAATAGATTCCGAAAAAAACAACAACAACCAACACGATGCGTGAGCCACAAATCTTCTGTCATAGTGTTATTCACTTGACCTTTTGCCTATGCACGAGACACCTAATTTGCTTACAGCAAACTTTATCACCAAATCGCAATCAAGCGCTTGTTTTGTATCCATTGGCTATGTTTTTGTTATTCGCCTAACAAACAAGCGCAAAACAATTGTCAATATCGGCCAAGCTGATGTAAACAAACACATCGCATTCTTTTCTGCGAGGAGTAAGGAAAGACGATTGAGAGCTGTAAAGAGATGACTGTCTTCAGCAGTCATTTAGTTTGGGTCAAAGCGCTGGGCGATTCGAAAGTGAAACTTCGCTTTTTCTGAATAATAAGTGAATACTTCAGTATGTGAGTGGAAAGGATAAAGCTAAAAAGCATACGACTGATAGAATTTCGTTCAATCCAAATTTAATATCAAACGTGTTTTTTTTTTCAAAATGATCACTGTGTGCTTAGTGTCATCAGCTGAGCAAATACACTAAAAAGAACAAAATTCTAGCTGTTTGATTTTTTGATTGAAAGATGATGGAGTCAAATTGAAGCGTCAAAATCAGAAGTATCTTAGAAAAGGGTGAAAAGCGCAAGAGAAATAAGGTTGCTTTGCTTCGAAAAGTGATTAGTTTTATGAAGGCAACATTCTCAGTGCAAACATTATTTTGATTAATGTCGAAGCTTTATGGAAAGTGCGCACTAAGAAGTAATTAAGGGCTGATTGTCAATTCACAAGCAAGGCAATCTAGATTGTCAGCTTAAATAAATAATTTGGTTAAGAAAATTATCAGAAACTCTTTATTGGTAGTTTTTTGTGCTAAGAGATTCCGAAAATCCTATAATTTCAAATTTGTTTTTGTACAGAAAACGATCTTGACTTATTAACTCAGAACTCATCCGAATGGTTTGAATATCAAGATAAAAATAATTTGGAAGATGACAAGATGTAGTTATTCTATTACAATAGAGATTACACGTGGATACTGCAGCAGAAGATGATTTTTTCTTTTTTGAAAAATAGAAAAGAACAGTGCCTCCCGTCGGATGATCAAAAATCAAGAATGATGGTCCACTCTGAACACACGTGGTGCCACCTCAGCATACGTGTTGAGAGTTCTGTTTTCACTCTACATGTGTAAACATGTTAACTTTCGTTATAAACATGATTGAGTTTACTGAAACATGAGATCTATCAATATGAAAATACTGAGTCTAAAATGGGTGACATGCAAACAATTTTTTATGTGCTTTTGGTGTAATTGCAGATTTTATCGAATCTCAAGACACTTGACGATCATAGTTTGGAGAAAGCAATAGGTTCATAAATTCTTAGCATGACAAGTTCAAATGATACACGAATTAGAATTTGAGCTTATTTTATCATCTGGCAAATAAACTAAATAACCTCAAAAAATCGTACAAACTCTTGCTTGTCTATAAATTAAAAAAAAACTTATCGCATAGTTATTTTTACAGTCGAAATCAACGAAGTGCTCCCTTTTCCGTATTGTCTCGCATCCGCAGCGCGTGGAAATTGCGCAGCGCTCTGCGGTCGATGCGGCAGAGTTGGCTCAAGCGGCGCGCCCGCGAGGGAGCACATCGTTGACACTGACTGTACATGATTTGATTTTTTTTTCTGAACAGGACCCCATTTCCGTTCAAGCAGAACAAAAATTCATTTCAAAATAGATACAATGAAGTGCACATGTTCTTTTTCTTTATCAGGAAGCGATGTCAGAGTGCGCGCTGTCTGCATTTAGTTGCTATTTCTGTCCTACTGACAAATTTTCGGGCACCCTAAACCCACCGGAAAAACTCAATTTCCATAGAAAAACGGGAAAACCCTTTCCATTCATTTCCGCTTTGGAGGAATCTGGACGGGATTAATTTTGATATTCACAAAACAAATGTTAGCAAGAACCATACAATGAAATTTTATAACTTCTGCCTCTGACGGCCTTATCACCTAGCTGCACTCATTACAACGCAGATCCACCCAGATCAGTGTAAAGAGAAAGAAAGAATGAGGAAAGAAGAAAAAGGAACTAAGAGAAAAATTGTAAGTTGGGTTGCCCTTGAATGTTTGTCGCAGCCATCCAGATAATTTTACGGTAACGGTGGACTATTATAACCTCTAGAAGGAGGTTCTGAATGCTCCTGAAATTCTTTAGGAGAAAAAAAAGTAGAAATGATGTTGGAGCCCAATCCAATGCTAAAGTCTACTAAACTGATTGTGAGTCAGCAATCCCATTTCATTGAAAATTCGAAAGAAAAAAAAACAATTTGAAATGACAGGAAATAATCGAGGAAGAATGTGATTGTGAGAATATATGGAGTGTGAGTAGTTGTTGTTTTTGAAAAGCGGGGAGTGAACATTGATGTTCTCAGCTGGAAAGGATGTAGACGCAATTACGTACTTTGCTGACGTTTTGCACTTGCTAACGTATGTCTGTTCAGTCATGGATTCTCACAAAGCCACTGCAACTATAAACAGCTTTAGTTCTGCTGGGAAGTAAAGAGATTTCAATTTTACTTCGAATGTGATTAGACATGTTTATTGGCAAAGCCGTTTATGTGAATCGCAAAAACACCAAAGAAGGGATCGAGAAAAAGGAAGTCAATATTTCGTTATGACTGAAACTTTGTCGGATGTAGTCACTGAATTAATCAGGGAAGAATCTCATATGCGCGTTGGCATTAGCATTCTAATCCAAAATCCTCAACAACTTGTGATGAAATTGGAGTTTTGCCAAGAAATGAAGCTTTGAGCGTTAACGATGCAATGTTGACTATCTTATAGTGAAATTTTTGTTGCGAAATAACCATTATTTTTCTTTCTGGAAAATAAGCAGTGAGTCATCTGGAGCCTATGAGTAATACACTCACACTTCGTGAGTTTTTTATGCGCATTTTTGTTTTCGAGCAGATTCGTTGGCGTGAAAGACGATGAATCAAACATAATTTTTGAGATATCCGAGAAGAAACCATAAAATCATATGACCATTGTGAAGCCATTCATAAATTAATTCTTCTTAAAATGTAAAAATTTGCAGTGTAATTGCGCCGATATCGCTTGAACTTATTTGCATTTTTCTTGTTGAGAAAATTCTAGATTTTTGCATCAGCGTAAAGAACGATACAGCTAATGAAAATTCATGAAATTTGAGAAATCGCATGTGACCATTAAAAAGCAACTTATATGAAAATTTGGTTTTGAATAGGTAGGAATTTGCAGCGTAATTGCGCCAATATCGCTCCATATTCTCAATTATTGTTAGGAAAATTCCAAGATTTTTGCATTAGCGTAACATATGGTAAATTTAATGAGATCAATAAAATGCAAAAAAAATTTAGACGAAAACTGAAAAGCAATTTAATGAGTTGAAATTCACTTAAAAAAGAAAAAAATTTGCAGGGTAATTGCGCCAATATCGCTTGAACTTTTTTATGCGCATTTTTCTTGCTGAGAAAATTCTAGAATTTTAGCACCAGAGTAAAGGACGATGCAGCTAATGAAATATTCAGTGAAATATGAGAAATCCCATGTGACCATCAAAAAGGAACTTAAATGAATATGAAAATTTGGTTTTAAATACAAGGATTTGCAGCGTGGATATCGTTTCATCTTTTTTATGTGCATTTTTTTGTTTGAACAATTCTAGAATTTTCGCTTCAGCGTAACAGTGATCAATACTAATAAGATGGAATAAACTCGTAAATTTCTAAACCACTGAAAAATAACTTAATAGTTGAAAACTCATTTTGAAAAGATAAGAATTTGCAGCATAATTGCGCTGAGATATTGAAGTGTCACGCGTCATCTGAAGTACACACAGCAAGCAATGCCCGACTGACGTAGTGCATTTGTTTTCACTGCCATGATTATTGTGTCAAAAAATGGCTGACGTCATCAAAGGGGCTGAAGAATTTGGCGAAATTGAGATTGGTGGCTAGTGAAAACACGCTAGACAGGCTTGCAAAATGCGAAAAATTCCGCGAAAATATAGATTTGCAGATAAAAAAAGGAGATCTGACGTGTTCAATTTCTGGAAATGCGAAAAATTCTGGGAGAATTGATTGTCGCCACTGCTTTCAATGTTTTCCATAGCCTGTTTATTCGAGTTTTAGGAGGGAACGACAAGTCTTGGAGCTTAAATCTTCTGACTGAAAAAGCTGAAATCTTATAATTGATTTTCTCGACTTGATGTCGTAGAAAAGCCCTTGGTTAGTAATTTTTATTGAGAAAAATGCGACAACTTTCGCCAAAACACTTGATCTAGAACATAAAAACATGACTTGTCGAATTTTTGAAATGCGAACAATCCTGAGAATCTTAATCTCGAAACAGGTTATATTTCTAGACCAGCACTATCTGTTCGAGTCTCAAAAGGGAAGGATGAGTCTTGCAGCTGAAAATTTTGTAATTCAACCTCTGGACTTGAAATGTAAAATATCACTTGACTATTGATTTTTCTTTCGAAGGAGCGGAAAACTTCGCGAAAACGATTTGAAGCTAGAGAAAAGAAATCTGTCTTAAATTCTTGGAGAACGCGAAAAATTCGGCGAAATTCTGACAAAAATTTCTAGAATTGTCCATTGATTCTCGTCGCTGTAATATCCACTTCATTCTTTGTTTTAGCTCTAGAAAAGATAAAGTTTTGAGACTAGATTTCTACAGCTAAAGCCTTTGGATGACGGTCCACTCGCGTTATTTTGCTCGAACGAGTTCGCGCGAAAATCGAAAGAAATTGTACTACATGCTACTTTAGAGCGTTATGTAATAAACGAGACGAGTATTTTCCAAGCGCATCCAATAGACGAGTGATGGTTGAAGCGGCTAGCATTGCCCTTCATATACGAAACATCACGTGAACTACGACTTTTTCACTTTTCCCGCGCCGCGTACTTTTGTGCATCAAGTGTATTCAGAGTAGTAAACACATCTACATTGTTTACTGTTTGGATAACATATCACATGTCGTTTTATGAAGTGTAGTTCTCGACAAAACATCGAAAAACCCCGTCGACGAGGAAGTGAATCGCTGTTGATTCGATAGATTAGATATCATCAAACTATGGAAGAGAAAAACCCCATCCACAACTAACAAAACATAACACACATATAAATTTATCTATTTTACCACTAAATCTTTTTGCATCACAGAGAACACCAAGTGGTATGGGCGAGTAGTGATTAGAAAAACTCTGCGAAAGCAGAGATAAAATTTATAAGAAGGCGAAAACTGCACAAACCGTCAAGGAAAAAGGCAACATACTGACACGTACTAGCATTGAATTGATAATATCCTAGACCCAGATTGGAAAGAAACCACAAATATCATATGGGAAAGAAAGATCAACAAAAAAATCGATGACATAGCAGAATGAGCACATCGCCCAGATAGCGTAATACAACATGACCGTGATTGTCGCGCGTTTTCGCCAAGTAGTTGAGATCATCACATGTAAACAAGAAAACACATAGAAATGATTAGCCGAAAGACTTGATTCGAGTAAGAACACTGGATTTTTGGATGAAAATCAGAACAAGGAAAACTTGCAGAGATGCAGTGTTTAGACAAAAAGGTGGAGAACAATTACACATTCATGTGGAAATGATGACATTTCTCCTAGCGCACACTGCAATCTGCTAGTCGTTTTGTGTTCTGAACGCAAAAATGTGACAGCAGGCAAGAATGTGCCTAGGTGCTGAGAGGAGTGTGACGCTAATTTCACACAATTTCACAAGGCAGCAGCACAGATCAAGTGCAATAATGAATCATGCGGAAAAATAGTGTTCTTCACCTTTACAAGTTCTCTAATCTGAATAACTATTATAATTCTAAATAACGATGATAACGCATTTGATACTACAAATTCAATGATAATGAGAAAACACCCAATCATGAGAGCCCGTATACCAAAGAGTGGCTTAGGCGCAAGTTTATATGGCGATCAGTTTCCGCAAAAACAACTCTTCAGCAAATTTGTTTACGTGGAAGTTCTATCGCGGAAATCGATGGTCAAATAATCTGCCCCTAACATAAAGCATCCGTAAATTTCCAACCAACGAGTAATTCTAGAAAGAATGGAACAATGATTAATAATAACAGAATGATTTGGTTGATACTGAAAGTAGAGCTGTGTACTGCGGATGAAGGGCACGTTTGGTAGCACATTTGAAGCCTCTTGTGCAACACGTAGGTCATAAGGCCAACCATGAATGCTCGAGAATTTCGTCGCATGACGGGCGTGTATGCTCATCAACGTTTAGAACGTACTCCACTATTTCTGAAAACACACCAATGATCAAAACTCAAGAGGCAAATGTGACGCTGGGGGAGGCAAAGAAATAAGCGAGGCGCATGGAAACAAAACAATAGCAGTTTTCGATCAAAGAATGGCAAACAACGCGCAGAAGCTGTGCTTGTTTACCAGCCACTATACTATTAACGAGATGATAATTGCACCAACCGAATGTTGCAGGAGTCAGTCGATCGAGCGGGTATAATAAAGACCTTCCGTATGCCCATTCGTAATAACGGCGATCGCTTCTGAACAGCCACACATTATTGAAAAAAAAATGAAAAGCATTCACAGCTCAAAGCCTTTACACAGTCAAAGAGAGTTCACTGACCGACTCTGTCCTTACGTACATGGGCATGCGGTCAGTGAAGTGGCCCAATGCTTAAATTTTCAACAGTATTCAAAATGAGCGGTCAATATGCACTTTCCAAAAAAAATTCTCAAATCTCATAGAAGCAAAACTGATTCTTGATCACTTACTTTCGTGCTCTTCTCCATGGTCTTCGGCCAGTTAGCATTATTACCAAAATGATACCCAATCCCCAGACGTCGTTCTTAGAACCTCTGTAAGCAAATTAACATTTCTCTTGCTTTTATCTATTCAATAACATCAAAAGTGAAGCGATTATCTAGGGCCTGTCTGAACAAAACTTACAGATATTTTTTCTTGAACATTTGCGGTGACATGAAATCGCTTGTACCACACATTCGATCAAGTGGTATTTCTCTGTTGTCAGCGGTAGTTTCTAGATGTGTAGCCATACCAAAGTCTGTGATTTTGCACAAACCTAAGACATCTCCATTTTAGATTATGACATTAGGTCCAAAACTTCAACACTTACCATTGCTGTTCACTATCACGTTCTCGGGTTTTATATCACGATGCACCACATGAAAACGATGTAAGAAATCAACGCCTCTGGTCACCTGTCGAAAATAGTCCCGGGCTCTACGTACATCGATACATCCATGACGGCTGTCACCTTGAAAACAGTATGTTGGCAGGGAAAAAAGAACACCTTAAGATGAAAAATAAAAATAAATTATCAATTCAACATTCGCGCTCAAATTACATGAATTATATTCAGCGTACAGAAAAGGTATGGCCCACTGGGAATATATGATCGAACGAGCCAACAAATTACAATACGCAACTTCGTAATTATTCTTTGATGACGAAAGTTAGAGACCGATTTCGCAGCAAAACGCCTCAGATCTGTGGTTTGCCAGATTTTCTGTTTCGACCACCTTCGCAACCATCTAGTGTCAGTTGTTGAAGTGTGCGCACGAACGCCTATTATCTCCCAGTGACCTAGTAGGACTTCACGTGAATGATGTGTGTGCAGTTTACTAAGTACAACGCGCACCACACACCATGCACAAAATGCAAAACTTTCCACTAGGCACTCTTGCTGTAAGCAGATAGACGTGCAACTTCTCCACATAGGGCTCAGCCAGATCGTGACAGTCACAAGCGATTGCCGCAGCGGCGGCTGTCACGATTTGGATCTTTCTATACATGTGCCAGACTCAGGTTTTTAGCACATAATCTAACCTTCTACTACCAAAACAGCTTCTTCCAGAACAGCTTATTTTGCGACATCACCTCTTTTATTCGCTCCCTCTCACACTTATTCAAAACGGCTAGATCGCATTAGTACCTAATCAAAATCAAAAATATCCCTAATTTTCTGACTAATTATATTTTCTATTTGTTTTTACAGATCCCATATTTGAAGAAAAAATGTTTGTTTTCTACAATATGCGATTCTTCCTTTTGAGAAAACCTTGCAGCAACTAAGTCTCTATGTCAATGGAAATTCAAAAATTTTTCAATCATAGGCATTACTGGCAACTGGCATTTTGGCGATAGTCATTAATCTATGTATAGAGAGCTATGCAGGCACAGATATGTTTTTATCAAACTTTACAAAACTGGTTTATAATAGTAACGCTGAAATTTGTATATACTCACGTATGATGGTACGTAAATCATCACCAGGGACGTACTCCAGAAAAATTTGCAGCTGATTGAGTTCTAGCTCATAATTGGATCCAAAACACTTGACGATATTTGGATGTCGTAGAGGAGTCAAGGCATTTTGCAGAGCGACCTGAGAACAAAAATGAAATGCCGCATAATAAAGCGCATCAAAAGTAAATGGGATTTACCTCATTTCGAAATTTTTGTTTCGAATCCTCTCGACGATGCTCGAGATCGATGACTTTTAACGCTAAGACGTCATCGGGTATGTACTTCCGACTGAATGGATTTCGCACAAGGTGTACTTCGCCATAAGCACCTGAAATACTCAGATATAGCAGGTTTCTTGCAGCAGTTTGTTAGAAAAGTGTGCACTATAACCGGCCAGCTATTTTGCTCAGTAAATTGGGGCTAACAAGAATATACTCGCTTCATAGTATGCGCGAAAAAGACAAGCTTGTGGTCATTGCGATATTTCAGTTATAACCTATCCCCAGCTAGAAGCTCAAGAGAAGTTTGATAAGGAGAAACGTGGCGCGAGAGCAAAGGGGCGCCGAAAGTGCCGTGCAACTAACTTCCCTGAAAGCCCTCATCTGTGGAAAATCCCAAGAATTTCAAAAATGCTGTTACAACTTCGCAGTATTGTGTAATGAAAGCATATAAAACGTTTCAAGCTGTAAAGCATCCCCCTCAACTTCTTCATACTGTAATGGCTTCTCTAAGTTCCCATCTGTCCCCACCACGCAAATTCATGGCGCCTTTTTCTGGAAAGCTAACTGCTTTTCTTGATAACATGCGGGGTATGATGTGGCGCAAACATCAACTTCTAAATTGCTCGCATACTGAGTTTCTGCAAATTATTCGCTCCTTCAAGACCATGCTTTTCAAAGAGAAAAACTCTCTGTACGTAGCCAATGTAAAGCGATAATTAGCGTAATGCTGCCCGAGCGCAAGCACCGTCGTTTGTTGAGATCCTTTCCCACAATTACGCCTTTTGAATTACGTTCAAGCTGCAGTCAAAGAAGTTTTTATTCTCGTAACCCAGCAAAGAATATGAGTTAATTTAGCTGCTATTTATTGCATTGCAATGTATTCAAATGATATAATGATGTGCTGCGCCGCGCTTATTTTTATGAATAGAACATGACCCACGAACATCCCCACAAAGAGATTTTGTAGAAAAAGTTCGTCAAAAAATTTTTGTCGGCAGGTCCTCCGACGAACAAAAATTACAAAAACAAAAACTGAATCAAGAATGCTAAGATAATCCTCGTGTGCTCTTACGAAAATTTGGAAGCAAATCGTTCTGCTTCACGTTAGTCACAGAGACCACGTCCCACCTTCTCCTAGAAATTTCAACGAATGATATTCGTGTCGCTGTGTCCCTGGATGGGGCGAAGCTGGTGAATGGGGCGCATAATCGGACGATGGTGAATCGTAGTCGGAATCGTCAAGACTTCTTGGTGGATCCGGTTTATATAGACTGTGACAAGGTTGACCAGTAATGAATTCACATGGCAATGAATGATCATTCGGTGAACTCGTCCAGTAGAGACGACTTTCCATCTATAACACAATAGATATTTTTAATTGAGCGTTTTTATTGTATGTTGAGAAGTGACGATGCGTGTAGTAAGCGGAAATCTATGCGCATATGATACAGAGCAAAAAGTAATGTTTCTAAGTGAGTGTGATAGCTGCATCTGAAAATGAAAACGTAGCAGCTAATAACGCAAACTTGGAGTGTCTTGATGAACACTGGAAAAATGTTTTCCTCCACATGTTCTGGGTGTCGTTGCGGATTTTGCCCCTTTTTGTATGCGACATTGCAAAAAAAGCAAAGGCAACTGAAAAGTCTCGCTTACACAGATAAGGGACAAAAGTCCGCAACAACGTTCAGCCCAACGAGTTCACCTTCTAGAAGAGATCGCTAGATGTTAAGAAGAAAGAAGCATCGCGCATGTAGAATCGGTTTTAAGTACTGTTTCTCTGTAAAAATAAGCTTGCTCCTTGAGAAGTTCGCCCATGAAAGCGAAATAAGGAGATCAAACTATATTTTTGCAAAAGAAACAGCTATTCGACAACTCAGTTTTAGTCAATGTTTGGAGGTAAAGTCCAGTAAAATTTCTGCATATTATGGTGTACTTGCAATCCCGAGATTCTGCGGTAAAAGTGGCGCATGAACAGATAGCTACCAATGCCGGCTACTTGCGCGCGCAAGATACCGGCAAACACAAGTCGGCTATTTGTTCACGCTCAAACTACCGCAGTATCTCGGCACCGTAAGCGCACTATATTAAGTGGAAGAGCTACACTGCATTTCATTTTTTCACTGCAAATACCCCCTGCATTTGCGCTTTAGCACATTCAAATTTCACGCTGATAGTTAGAAAATTTAGATAGTCAGTTTAGACGCGGATTAATTGAGCCTATTAACGTCAATTTTGAGAGAATGAAAGAAACCCCACGAGATAGCATGACTAGGAGCGCTTTCATATATAAACATCAAGGAGAATGCGCAATCGCTTTTAGCGCAAAACCTCTAACGCACGCTTGGTCGTTCTTTGCAGAGTCGACAAATCAATCATAGGAAAAGAGAACAAGAACCCGTACATGCCTCTCTGGATGCTTTTATAAACGCAGCAAAGCAATCTGCCCACACACGGTTGCCTATTTGCCCCGTAGTAGGAATATCGAACGAACAGAGAAACGAGATGCGAGAGAGCAATGTGACGTACTTTGAAGTGCAAACACTGAACAAGCAAACAGCAGGACCGTAGTCGATAGTTTTTGATTCCCACCAGATAGATAACTAAAAACTGAACGGTTTAGCGCAGTATATGCGAGAATGTTAGAATTGCGGACATCGTTCTATGCTTGTTATAGTAGCAAAAGGAGAAGCTGGTAATAGCGGCGAACGGGTGTCGCCAATTGTATTGTTCTCCAAGCGCATTGGAAATGAAGTTTGTTGCTCTCACTTATGAGCAATTCATGTGGGCATCCTTTTACAACTCCGCAAGAATTCGTAAAAACCATCTTTGTGTACTTTTCCCCCAACTTCGCACATCGTTAATATGAAATAACTTTCCATAAGTTAGGAGATCCTGCTCCCTAAGACTGTTCCAACGATCCTACATGCTTACTCATTTCCCATTTTTTCCAATATGTCTAAATCCATATCTTGAGCGTATGACTAATAGTAAAACAAAAATTTTTGTTTACGTAATAACTGAGTAATTCAACCTAACCCTGACGTCATCAATCGCATTGATGACAGCCAGAAAATGCCAGCAAAGCACTTATAATACGAATTAAGCCCTAGACTGGATGACTTACAGATTTCACTTGACCGACGCTGCCCACGCGGTGTGATATGCCAGTATCTAGAACAGAGTAAAGTTGAATGGAATGTAACATCAATCAATACCCATGCAACACGTAGGGTGCACGGCGCGTGCGTACATGCGTGAATGCACTATCTCGTTAGACACTAGACAAAGAGAAACGCAAGACAAATATGGTACAGCAATTAGTAGAAGTATGAAAAGCCCTCATTTCATTTCTATAAGGTAGGGAGACTTTACCGAGCCTTGACGATAAAAAGAGACAGAAACTAGTTCCACATCACAGCTGTAAATAACCAGCTGCGTTAACGAACGACTGCGTGCCAAACACTTAACCGCAAAACTGTAAACCTTTTATGTGCTCAATGTACAAGTACATCAATGAGGTGCACACTATGTTTTGATGAATGCACTTGGCTTCGAAATGAAAATTTTACCTTTTGAAAAAGGCCGATCGGTAGAGATGCAGGACTCAAAAGCTTTGTAAACAAGATAGAGGGACATTTTGCACGAAAAAAAGAGGTTGTGCAACGGAATGGAGAGGTTTGGTTTGATTTTTGGACACAGGATCTCAAATAATCAAAAAGCATCGCCGGATCTGACATTTAAGTAATGACTCCCGAATATAAATTTTGGAAACATAAATTCTTGTATGGGATTGGGTTACCTACTCTTCAAAAGCAGTCTGATGCCATAAAACAGGCTGGTAAGTACGCTATCGATCAATAATGGGCTAGACGCCCGTATGCATCTTTTCGAGTCAATATGACGGCCTGAACGTTTGGACTCGGACTTAGATTTTAGCACGTGATTGATAGAAAGCGCTTTTTTCTATTCACCGCGGCATTACATATGAAGAAAAAAGACATGCGCTGATAGGGAATGTGATTGCGAAAAACGTCCTCGAAAATGAAAACTGAAAAAGCCCTCTTTTGGCTTCGAAATCGTGAAAAATAGAAATGGTAAACGAAAGGAAAAAAGAAAAAAGGAAAGTAAAAGTTACTCTCAACATAAGGAACTATGAAACATGTGCAACGAAAACAACTTACGCCGTGTGTGGCACTCAGACTAAACCTCAAATCAATGATCCTTCCTCACTCAATGAACTTTGCGGACAACACGCTGGCGTGGAGTGAGACGTGATGGTCGTTCGTTGCGTAAAAGGTCATGTTTTCGCGTGTAATCCGCTGAGGCTGAGAGTTTTTTCTCGAAAAAACCATAAACACATGGATTGAAGAAGCGAAGCATAGCGACGCCCTCTAATCAATAATCATTTCGAAAATGGACGCAAGCGAAACGCAAACGCAAGATCTTTGAGCGCAAAGAGAGCACGCTTAGTGGAATGATGTGACAGCGAGCGTGAAATAGCGCAATGATGGGGCGGAGCGCCACTCTTCGGCCACGGATCTCGCGTCCCGCGCCACAACCCCGGCTGGTTCCATGTGCACACAACATTGACCGCTGCGGAAGTGCAATATAAGTATGTTAAGTAGTAGGTGGGAAAGAGGGGGCACATTCGAAATTGCATCGATTGAGAGAAAATGTTGAGAGGAAGGCACTTTTATGTTTACATTCATAAAATGAGTGAATAGAAAGTTTTTTACGGTTTTCGAGTAGCGCCAAAAGAAGGAAATATGTACAGACGTTCCGAGGGATTGCGAATGTAGATATGTAATCGCACATTGGTTTTTTTCTGGAAAAGTTGACGCGAACGTGTACTAGATCTCACGGCTAATATAGTGCCCCTGCGGTGCCGACACTATTTGCTCGTGAAATGGCCATGGAGCGCATATTTTCAAGTTTTGCACCCCATTGTCATTTGCTCACGTGCAGTGTTGTTGGCAGCGCAGGGGTTTTAATGCCAGCCTATAAATGATGTGACGCTTGTAGTTCTTGTTATCGATTTACTAATTTTCAAAGTACCTGTTCAAATTGAGCAACGTCAAAGAGTAATTTCGGAATCTTAGTGGGACCGTCGATTGTATATGTCATTTTTTTCTGTGCTGGTTCGAAAACCTTTCGTAATTCCTTCTTCGCACGATGCAGTACATCAAAAATTGTGGGAATTTTTATTGCTTTGTGCAGTGGATTCGATTTAATTCGAAAAAAAAAATGGGGCTCTAGAGCACTTTTTTCAAAATGGATAGAGTTCAAACACAGAGAACAAAAGAAATGATTTTCACATGGAAATGCGCTTCAAGCTTGAAAAGGCGTCACAGTTACATTGAAAGCGCGCACTACGTGCAAGTGCACGCTCTAGGCAATGCTCACCTGACCATGAACGAGTATTCGCAGGTTGCTCACTATCCATTCACGACTTCGAAACGCGAGCCTAAGCACACAAAGCCTAACAAGCTATTGTTCGTCCACTAGTTTCAAGATATAAAACAGTAGAGAGGGCTTTATATAAGTTTTGAAGGTTATTGTCAAGGCATTTTTATTAATAGGCGTGTTGCACACCACGCGCAGTATTTCACGATTTGTCACATCAAAGACTGTGTCTTACTAAGGCAAGGGACATACCTCACGCGATTTCAGTCGCCACGCGATCTGGCAATTTGCCAGATGTTTTCAAATTCAATACTGGTAGACCCCAAATGTACAGCATGTATAACTTTCGTAGGCTGATAAAATGCCCCATCTTCCGTACATTCTGAAACCCCGTACGATGAGTTATGAACGTTTGGAGTATTGCCAAATCGCGTCGCGACTGAAATCGCATGAGGTATGTCCGAGGCCTAAGACTCTTCCTGTCTTCTTCTTTCCGTCACTGGATATGTATTAGGTTTTTGTATACACTTTTGCAGTTTGCTACGTTAGATAAGGTTTTAGACGAGTTACTGGTAAGGAGTCGTCCAATGTGGCGCGCAGTGTGCAGGCTCACATGTTAAATAACAAATGAATGGACGGTATGCGCTAGCATTCTCGAGTCTTTCAGTCTATGAATGGTCATATTATGTGCTCTAGTGAAAAATAAGAAGTCGGAATAGGTGCTTTCTCACATTATTCTTTGTGCATTTATTCAGATTACTTCTGCAAAACGAAAGCTTACATCTTCTTCTCAAGACATTCCACATTGCTTGAATAATATCGCGTGCTTTTCCGCATATAATTCAGCAGCACTCTTTCTCCCCCTTTTTTCATTTCAATTCTATACGACTTTTTGTCGAACTGAAGCATAGAGGTAACGTGTTCACGCCATATTTTCGCACTGAAAGCCTGTGCGAAACCAGATACGCGAATAGCAGCCAAAAATAGAGCAGTGGAAACGATCAATGCAATCACGATCATGCGAGCTATGCAGTTTTCTTTTGTGAAACAAATTATGTTTCTGCTCCTGAGATAATTTAAACATGTAGATTCTGTAGGGAAGATCGATTGCAGAATCACGGGACTTGAAAATGCGTAGAATAAATCATCCATTCACTGTGAGATAAGACGAGAGCGCTAAGCGCACAATGTCTAACAAGTGCAAATGTGTTCCTTTTCTCTTTTCAAATAGTGAAACGTCTAAAAAAAAGCACAACTTTTAACTTGTTTTCCGGCGTCAAAACTTGGAGCTCTAGGTCGCGAAGCGATATTCTAGTGTGGCGCGAAATTTGAATTTATAAACTGAGCCAATTCAGGGTCAAGCGTGCGGTGTGGCACGCCGCACCTGGGGGGTCGTATTGAGGAGTCAAAAGGGGAGGGGGTAGTTGGGTAATCTGATAATAGTGATAACATAACATAACATATTCATATCATATCCATAATTAGCATGTCACTTAACCCCTGTAGACAAAGTTTGAGCGAATTCTGAAGATTCAAGATACTAGGCTACCTAAGTGGAATGGTCATATTCCAATATGGTTAACTTTGGTTCAGAGGTGAATTAGCTCTCCGTTTTTGCACTCAAGACAGAGCACTACTCCTTCTTTGTCCATCTCATCCCGCTTCAAGAGACCTCCAGACTGCTTTTAATGGCTGTGCTTTCACCAAATATTACTCAGAAAGAAGACGAATCAGGCTTAAAACAATCCTATGGAATCTATGTGGTTTAAGCTAATCGATCCATATAAATACTGTCCACTAAAAATGTTTTTTGATATAGTTAATGGGGTGTGGGATTTGAGATTTCGATTGGCTTCTAATTCCACAGTTTGGAGGTCTTTTGAAGCGTAATTTCTGAGATGGACAAAGAAGAAGTAGTGCTTTGTTTTGAGTGCAAAAACGCATAGCTAATTCACCTTTGAAACAAAGTTAACCATGTTGAATATGACCATTTCACTTAGGTAGCCTAGTATCTTGAATTTTCAGAATTCGCTCAAACTTTGTCTACAGGGGTTAATTGACATGCTCATTATGGATATGTTGCCCATTATGTTTGACAAGGCCTTCAGGTAATGCTATCTTAGGTATATAATCCAGGGGGTGGTCGTAACCAGCGATCGTGTGCCACACCCCTTGCTGACCCTGGCCATATCCAATGTCGAGCCAATTTTGATGACTGGAGAAGTGGCGCGAATGCGTTCCATGCGGACAGCGGCACTTGCTATTGGCAATTTACCAACTGACCAATAGCGAGGTGATGAAGTGAATCAAGTGGATTGGTGGTTCAAGGAGGGCGCGTGTCGTACAAAAAACACTTCTTCAATTGGCCATTCCTTGTTTCGAAAAGGTAATGATACCAGCGCTACAATTAATTGCAAAACAATGTCCCATTTTTTCCAAGAACCAGCAATAAAAAGAAAATCAAGACGAATGCACAGGCTACATTGATCACGTACTCCCTTTTTGCGCTGGAATTACTACCAGCGCGAGGGCATCGCGTGCGGACCTTCGATCGATAACATTATATGCGCGAAAGTATGACCTGGCGATTGCGCCTATGGACAAGGGAATTCGTGATTTACACGGGTGGCAGAATTGAATATTCGTATTTTTGCTTTTCGCGACCCTCTCCCCCTCCCCCACCCCCAAGTCGGCTGCGAATTCCTTGATCGGCTTGATTCTTCCTCGCCCCCTCTTGGAGTCTTGGAGCCATAAAACCGCGAAAATCTCGGAAAACATTCCAAGAATTTTTTCGAAAGACTGGCTAACGCCACTCCCGTTATCCAAACATGATTTTTGTTCCCCCCCCCCCCTTCGGTAGAAATTTCTTGGACTGGCACGTATATTCAACTCCAATGGTTCTACG